AAATCAAATTTTGGGCAGGGATTCATCCTGTTTCTATAGGGTGGCAATTAACACCATCCTAATGTAAGATGTTAACATTAGGGAAAACTGGGTGGTGGGTATTCAGGAATTCTCTTTCTTTGCAATTTTTCTGTAAATCTAAAACTGCTCTAAAAGTTTATTTTTAAAAAGTCATTGCATGATAGTTCAAGATGACACAGGTATAAAATAACTCTGTCTTTGGGGTCCATGACGACTTCTAGGTGAGTCTGTTTCTTGAAGAAACCATGTAGTTTTGCCAGAAAACTGTTTGCCTAGGCATAAGTAAGATTAAGTTTAAGCCAAATTTCACTGTAGAGTAAATTGGGTTTCCTGGTGATTTACTTTCATTAGACAATTTTATTTTAGCAAAGCAGATAATAGATTTGTATTTTTTTCCTGAATCAGTCATGGAGATGGCAATTTTAGAGAAATGGTTACCCCTTGCATAGCCATTGCACTTTGATCTGAAATAGTAATAACCTTATGATTATTGCTCCAAAATGTCTAAAACATAACTCATAAAACACACTTGATTTGTGCTGGCTTTATAAAGGGCATGTGTAGTTCAGAGCAGAAGTCTAATTATTAGACTGAATAAATTGCTTTCATGACACATTACTTATATTTCTAATAGTACCTATGTATTTGCAGCTTGTATAATAATAAGGTAATCTTACACACTAATACCCGGAGAAGTACTAAGCCCCTTCTCGGCATTATCCCCTTTAATCCTCACAGTACATCAGAGAGGGGTACACTGGTTTTTAAATGAGAAAACTAAAGCCTAGTAGAGGCTAAGGAACTTGCTTAAGGTCTCTCAGATCATAAGCCACAAAGCTGGATTCAATTCTAGATCTGTATGACTGTAGACCCTGAGCTTTCCCCAGTAGAGTATAGCACTTGTTATTTACACACCAATGCCCCTCAACTAGGCTTGAATTCCTTAGGAGTGAGAACTGTGTTTTATTCATTTTTGGATCCCCAGATGTAATTTAGACCCACACCTGAAAAAATCTACACTATATTTATTCTTCCTTTTCCTTTAATACATAAGTTTGGTTACTCAATCACATATAAGAATAATCCTCTTAATTGTTTTTAGCTGCTCAAGTAATCATAATTATTATGGGGAATTAATACAGACAGAATACTTTGCTTACAGAATTATATAGAAGAAAAAACTCATTCTTGATGGTATATGCTACTGAAATTCAGTTGTGTTGTTGCCCTAAATTATAGCTTAGCAATCACTTTTTCCTCTGCTGGGAAAGCCATTCTTGACCTGCTTCCAAAAACTCTGGTAGAGGACAGCATACAAGAGCTCTTGTGGGAGAGCATGCAACATTATTATTGTTTGTCTCTGGATTCTGGATTATGATCTTGCTACCTAAAATATAAGCCCCTTAAAATTGCTGTTAGATACCAGATAGCTCTCCATTATGAAGCAGTGTAGTATGTAATAACGATTTTATAAGTTAAAATATTTCTATATCAAGAGCCATCAGGTTAACATAACGAGAACAATATGTCAGGTTCTGTGGAATTGTTTGTACTCTATCCTGATAAAATGAATCTGGCATGAAGTACTATTCTTTCTTTATCTGAATAAGTGCTTTATCATCACAGGTATGATGTGGATTAGATCTTGCTCTCTTAACATAATCAAAAGAAGACACTTCCTTTGTTGCAGCTAGTAATGTTCTAAGTGATGTGCTGCTTTAGATTTGTGGAGGCCTTTCAAACAAATCCAGGTCATGTTCTTTTGTCTGTGGGTTCTCTCTCTGGCTTTGCATAGGGTGGAAAGTCATTGCAATTCTTTCATCAAATTGAATTAAATTGCTTAAGTCTTTGTAACCTGTATGAACTCAGATATCCTTGTGCAATTACAGTGTTCAATATTCAGGACTCACAATAAGGAAAGTACCTGGTTTGAACGGGAGCTAGGTCATGAGGGAGCAGTGCAGGCATGAAGCTAAAAGCCCCCATTTCTAGTCTTTGTTCTGCTGCTAGCTCACTCTGTGACCCTGGTCAAGGCCTTTTACTTCTTGGAGAACTGGATTCCTCTTATGTAAAGTGGGGAAGGTGGTGCAGGTGATCTCTGAACATATTTTATAGCTTTAGAATTGCATTGTAGGAGTGAAGTTCTTCTCATATGGTCTGCAAGAACTTTATACTCTGATTTCATTAATAATAAGTCTGAATTTCTGTAGTTCTGAGTTCTGGAGGTAACACAATTGTCTGAAAATAATTTATGTCCTTAGATTTCAATTTGGGGAGATTTATATTAGGAAAAAATGTTTAATTTGGTCTTGTTTACAATTTTCATGGAAGTATATAAATAATAAAAGGAAATCAATAGCAAAAAGGTATGTGAATCTATTAGGTTCAACTCCTTCCCCCAAAAAATTTTTGGCTCAATGAAGAGTCTACCTATTTACTTAGTTGATTTTCTGCCGCTGAAAAACATTTTAAGGCTGTTGCTCAACTACTGCTTCCACAAGTGCCTGTTTTGGAGGTGTATCTTGGGTTCTTTATTCCCTGACTTGAAGAAATAGATTTACCTGATGAAAGGGCGTCATAGAAAGCACCAGACCGTGACATGGGTGTGGGAGTATCATAGAGGTAAGGGTAAGGGGAGTTGGATAAATGAGTGATTAGAAAGGATTTTGGAGGTGCTGATGGGATTTGAAAGTGAGCTTTTATTCAAGATAGGGGAATAGTAAATCAAATTTTTATCTTTGACTATGTCCTTGGGTAGGCAATAGTCTGGACAGGTACAGCTAACTCTCAGCCTGAGGAATTCCAGAGCATTCTGGCATTTCTGCCCAACTAAACACAAGTAGTGTTACTGTCAATGATAAAGAGATAAAAGAGTTCTCCTCCTTCTTCCAAGACTTAGAACATGCTTTAATGCTATGGAAAGCTGGGAAACTGAACACAGGTGTAAATGTTAAAATTATAATGGCTGACATTTATCAAGAATTTTCTGAGCTCTTGGAACTGTGCTAAATTCCTTTTGTGTATTATCTCATTTCATTTATGTATTCATTCATATTTATTCAATATTTATTCAACAGCTACATGCCAGACACACTTTTGATACTTAGAACATAGGAATGAACAAAATATAAGAAATCCCTTTTTTTCATGGACTTTATACACAAGTCAAGTACCCATTAATATAAGGGTGAAGCGGGACATACAATAAATATATTTCTAAGTTATATAATACATAAAGTGATGGAAAGTACTTGAAGAAATTAGAATTCGAAAGTTAGGAAATATTGCATATGTCAATATATACAAATAATTTTAAATATGGTGGCTAGGGAAGTCCTGATTGAGAAGTTGACATTGGAATCAAAGGCTGAAGGAGATAAGGAAGCAAGCCAAGCAAACATCTGGGGGAAGAGACTTCCAGGCAAAGGGAAAAGCAACTGCAAAGATCCAAAGGAACAACTGTGCTGTATGGTTAAGAAATAGTGGGGAGACCAGTGTGGCTGCAGCAGCAAGGGTATTAGGATAGTATCATAGGAAATAAGGTCATAGAAGAAGGGGTCAGATAATGATGCGGTTTTGGGGGAGATGATGAACAGATTTTGAAGGTATTTCTGTTTGAAGAGGGTTTTGAACAGAGAAATGTCATGATCTGGCTTAAGTCTTCACAGTAATGCAATGAATGCTGTGCTGATAATAGATTGTTTGGATACATAGGTGGAAGCTCAGAGATCAGTTAGGAAATTATTGCAAGAATCCAGATGAGAGTGTCAGGGTGGTTGCAATGAGGTTGTAAAACGTGGCCAGGTTCATATCTTTAAAGGTAGAAACTACAAGATTTGCTGACATTTTGGATATTTGATATGAGAAATAACAACGTGTTAGGGATGATTTCAAGGCGTCTGGCACAAGAAACCACAAGGCTTTTGTTTTGAGGACAGGTAAAATGGAATTTTAGTATACTGAGATGAGGAAGTCAGTAGATGGAGCGGTTTAGGAAAGAGGGGAAATCAGGAGTTTGGTTTTGTATATTTCAAATTTGAAATGTTTATAATGTATCTAATTAGAGATTTCCAGTAGGCAGTTCTATATGCAAATTATTTAATCCTTTCAACAACCATAGGAGGTATGTTTTATAATTATTCTGATCACAGAGGGGGCATGTAATTAATATCTTGATTACAGATGTTCTAGGGCACATAGATAGCAAGCGGCTGAGTAGCCATTTGAATTCAGGCACCCTGAGTCCAGAGCCATGTTACTCAGCCTGTAGATTTGCCGTCTCTCTCAGCCATCTTAATCAAACTCCCAACATGCTTTTTTGTAGAAATTGACAAGATGATTCATAAACTTATATGGAAATGCAAAGGTCTTAGATTAGCAAAAACAATTTTGAAAAAGAATAAAGTTAGACGAATCTTACCACCTAATAGTACAATAAAAGCCATAGTAGACAACATGATATTTGTGTAAGGAGAAACAGCAACAACGTTTTTTGAAAGCCTATAAATAGAGACACATACGCAATCAATTGATTTTTAACAAGTTTCAAGGTAATTCAATAGCAAAAGCTTTGTATTTTTAATAAATAGTGCTGAAACAACTGGACATCCATATGCAAAACCCCTCACAATCTCTATTTTATGCCATATAAAAATTAATTTGAAATATATTACAAACCTAAACATAGGAGTGGAAACAACAAAAATTCCAGAAGAAAACAGGAGACTATCTTTGTGAACTTTGGGTAGCCATAATTTTTGACAGAACATAAAAGCACTAAATATTAGAGATATAATTTAGGCTTTTCTACTAAAATTCAAATCACCTGCTCATCAAAAGGAACTGTTAAGAAAATAAAAAGAGGAAAAAATGGCAAACAGGAGGCAGGGTTAGCTTGCAGCTCCCACTTGGACAGACAGAGCAGCGTGTGGAGACTCACGCTGTGAACTTTGGCTTCAAAAACTACTGCAGCAACATACCAGGAAAGCTGAGAGGATCCACAGGCCCTTCAAAGGAAGCGGATTGCTGCTGTAGACCCCTGGAGACAGCCAAAACACTGTGAGTATAAAAAGGGTGAAAGCATGAAACGGGAGTCGTCCGCCCTGGAATACACACCCTCACTGGGGACCCTCAAAGTCCAGATCACAGGAGTATAATGTGACCTTACCTGGAGTTGAGAGAAACTTAAAGAGCCAAGCAAAATACAGAGGTAGAAGAAGCAGCGGGAAGAGTCCTGCGGGCACTCTTGGTCCCCAGGGAAGTTATTTCCAACTTTGTCTCACAGGGGTCCTTGGGGAGGACTGACAGAGAAACTGGGAAAAAAACACAGGGAGAAGAAAACTTCTAGCTGTATTTTGTTACAATGTTGACAGAACGTGAAGTTTTCTGGACAGAACCTGGGGGAGGGGTGGATAGCCAGTACAGGCACAGCACAGAAGTTGCAGCAGACACAGGGAGGCGCGAAACTTGAAAGCCCTGCTTGCTTTCTCAGCCAGGAGACTGGTAACCTGGGCCAGATTCTCAGTCCTGCACGCCTACTGCCTGGAGATAAACTCAGTGCTGTTGGGTGGGGCAGTAGGAATGAGACTAGCCTTTTGAGCTGCATGGGAGCGGGGTGAGGCCTGTAACTGCTGGCTTTTCCCCACTTCCCTGGAGACCTGTATGACAGCAGATGCAGTCATAATTCCCCTGTGAACATAACTCCATTGGTCTGAGAACCACACCTCAATCCCGCACAGCGGCCTCAGCAAGCCCGACCCAAAGAGAGTCTGAGTTCAGACATGCCTAACCCTGCACCCACCATAGGCACATAGACCAATGGAACAGAATAGAGAACCCAGAAATAAAGCCAAATACTTACAGCCAACTGATCTTTGACCAAACAAACAAAACAAACAAAAACATAACGTGGGGAAAGGACACCCTATTCAACAAACAGTGCTGGGATAATTGGCAAGCCCCATGTAAAAGAATGAAGCTGGATCCTAATCTCTTACCTTATAAAAAATCAACTCAAGATGGATCAAAGACTTAAATCTAAGACCCAAAACCATAAAAATTCTAGAAGATAATATTGGAAAAATCCTTCTAGACGTTAGCTTAGGCAAACACTTCATGACCAAGAACCTAAAAGCAAATGCAATGAAAACAAAGATAAATAGATGGGACTTAATTAAACTAAAAGGCTTCTGCACAACACAAGAAACAATCAGCAAAGTAAACTGACATCCCACAGAGTGGGAGAGAATGTCCGCAATATATATATCTGACACAGGACCAATATCTAGAATCTACAAACAAACCAGCAAGGAAAAAACAAACAATCCCCTGTAAAACTGGGCTAAGGACATGAATAGACAATTCTCAAAAGAAGATAGACAAATGGCCAACAAATATATGAAAAAATGCTCAACATCACCTATGATCAGAAAAATCCACATCGAAACCATAATGTGATACCACCTGACTCTTGCAAGAATGGCCATAATAAAATAAATAAATAAATAATTTAAAAACAATAGATGTTGGTGTGGATTTGGTGAAAAGGGAACACTTTTACACTGCTGGTGGGAAGGAAATCTACTATAACCACTATGGAAAACAGTGTGGAGATTCCTTAAAGAACTAAAAGTGGAACTACCATTTGATCCAGCAATCCCACTACTGGGTATCTACCCGAAGGAAAAGAAGTCATTCTATGACGTAAGACACTTAAGACACTGCATGTGCATGTTTATAGCAGCACAATTCGAAGTTGCAAAAACATAGAACCAGCCTAAATGCCCATTAACAGCAAGTGGATAAAGAAAATGTGATTAATATATATAAATACACACCATAGAATACCACTCAGCCATAAAAAAGGAATGAAATAATGGCATTTGCAGCAACCTGGATGGAGTTGGAGACTATTATTCTAAGTGAAGTAACTCAGGAATGGAAAACCAAACATTGTATATTCTCACTCATATGTGTGAGCTAAGATATGAGGATGCAAAGGCATAGCATGATACAATGAACTTTGGGGACTTGGGAAAAGGGTAGAAGAAGGGTGAGGGATAAAAGACTACACATTGGGTACACTGTACACTACTCGGGTGATGGGTGCACCAAAATTTCAGAAATCACCACTAAAGAACTTATGTAACCAAACACCACTTGTACCCCAAAAACCTATTGAAATAAAATAAGTAAGTAAATAAAAGAAAGGAAACGATACTACGTACACATGCTTAAAATTAGATAGCATAGAAAGATTTTTTAAAAGAAGAAAAAGATAAGCCCAAAATTTGGAGAAAATATTTGCAATACATTCACCTGACAAAATAATTGTATCCCCAAACAACATAATGCCTAAACTGTGAAGTAATTTAACATAAAACACATATTACAATGCATAAATGAAGTAGTCAGATGCTTATAATTGAAGGTAGAATCATTTTGGATATGACAGGTGTCATTCAGAATGATACCAGTACTGTCCTTGTCATGATGATGCTGTCCTTGTCATGATTTTCTGAAACAGAGAATCATTGCAAGACTCTGAACAAAACCAAGTACAGAAGTCGCTTCCTTTTGTTTTCGTGGTAGTTGAATTCCTAAAAATTTCAGTATATATTAAAATGATATAAAATATACTTTGTTTATACTTTGTTTATATGCATATAATGCAATATGTTTCTTGGCTTGGGTTATTATTAAGCTCTTCACAACCATAAGAAATCCCTATGAAACATTAAAAATTTGAGCAGGCTATAATTCTTCAATGTGTGAGACTGTACAACTCATTGCAGATCCAGACTTATAAACAGTTTTAGGATGTCTTAATCATGGTGACAATTAAAAAGAAAACCTCCCCTACAGATTTCTAAAATGTTCCCTAGGGGGTAATACTATTTATAAAGAGAACCACTGTTCCATTACACAACCAAGAAAAACGGAAACATTTTCTGGCTTGGGTAGTATCTGAATGGGGAATTCTCTGTTCCTGCTGCCTTACTTCTTCCCACAGATGAATGCGTAAGTAAAGGTCTACTGGTTTCTATGTTTTAGAATACTTATTTATTATTTTAGAAATAAAGGTGTTCTATTAGCAAAAAGATGGAGACCACCGTTGCTGAGTTGTTGCCTGGCACATATAAGGAAACCAACAGCTGCTTCCTTGGTTGACTGCTCATAAAAACTGACAAATTGAATACTTTCAACCTTGACAATTAATTAAATACATTTAGAGAGGTGCCAGATTAAAAGCTGAGCCCTGCAAATGGTTTGGCATAGATGAAAGGACCTTGCAAGCTAGGCCCATAAGTTCCACTGGGCTTCAGGTTAACAGTGCCTGGGACCTTTGCTCTCCCTCTGGGTTTGAAAAATGCCCTCAGAGCTTCTGTCTTTGGTAATGGTTGTGCAAAGAGACTTTGCGTTTCAGAGCAACCTCTTCTTGAAAGGTATCCAGAAACAGCCCTTCTCTTGTCTCTCTGTGGTTTTGTCACTAACATAAATCTTGTTTTCCACCTCATATGTATTCAGTACGAATAAGCCAGTTAGCAAATGGCATGGTCTTTTCATCAGGCATATAGTTGTATTCATGTTTTTTATTCAAAAGCATGGGTCACTCACTTGGAGTGATTGGAGTACTTAAGCTCCAATCTCAAGGTGCTGTAGACACTCTCTCAGATCACTTACAAAAAAATAAAAATAAAAAAGGGTGAGGGAGAAAACAATTTTAGAAAGACACTCTGAACATTGTTCAACCACAACCCCCACTTTGAAAATACCACTTCCAATCGGGGCTTTCAGCAGCAGCCTCTGTGACAAACAAATAGTGACTCATTCTGACATTATGTTCTTGGGTTTTTGCAGATATTAAAGTCTTAGTAATATGTGTCCAACAGAGTCAGGCTAGCAATAAAATGATCCAGAATGATGGTGAAAGCTCCTTTTTATTTAATTCCACCTGGAAGCATGAGAAAGCAGTGATTTGAAAATTCAGTGCGTATGCCTTTCACGGAAGAGAACATCTTCATTTCCCTTTACACATTAAAAACATTTCCCCAGATGCCCTGAGAGTCAAAGCTGCAGGGATCCGTAAGGTGTCAGTACAGCATCTAATCCGATAACTAAATCTTCCTTGCAATCTACCATGACGGAAACAAACCCATTCTTATTAGAGAACATGTGAGATTTGTAAATGGGACAGACCTTTGGAGACCCTGGTAGGGGCAGAACCCACACACCTGCATTTTTAAAACTGTTCGCTCCTAAATATTAGAAGTCTTCTTCCCCAGTACCAACTCCTTAATTCCCGATTTGGTTTCCATTCTCAATACCATCATGTTCATTTTTGTTTGTATAAATAGCACTTTGAATAAGCTGTTTTAAAAAATTGACTTCAAGAAATGAGCGAAGTTCTTCCAGTTGTCTTCTGACTGGTGAGTGATAGAATGGAACTTTCATTACTTTTTTTTTTCTTGTGGCTGAGCCAATATTCTTTTCTTTAAGTTTTAGTGGCAATTATTTTTAGAATAAACCATCTTTATTGAACACAAAAACATTAAAGAAAATCTAACTTTGTAAGTCAGTCGTACAACCAATCTCTGCCATTTTTTTTTTCTGCCTGGGTTTTCCCTACTAGAAGTGAGTAAGAAGGACTGATAGGGAGAAGTCAGTGATGAGTTGCTTTAAGATGACACCAATCACTAATTTCATCATTCAGACCTTCAGCAGCCAGTTATTGGATACAATAGACCAGGAAATAATAAAAATATTGTCAGGATATGACCAAACATCAGAATAAAAGGGGGCACCTATCAATTATATTTTATTAGATAATCTCATCCATATGGGGATGAATAGTGTTGTATATCTCACAGTAGACAGCCTTTATTGAAGTCTGCTAAGCAGTACTGTTCAATTATGTTGGATTAGCAAATCCATCTTTGCCTCTGTTATGCTACAAAGAACTGTAACTGAATTAAAGCAGCCTATAAACCTTGAATATGGGGAAATTAATTCTCTAAAATATCGGTCTGTTGTAAATAATAAATCATACCAACATGAGATAAATATTGTTAGATTAGATCCAGTCCTGTGTTCTAGTCTCTAACCTTGCACCAGAAGATATTTGTCATTGTATAGTACGTCCCAGAGAGCCCACAGGATTAAGGTATATGTATGCATTTAAATTTTTTTTTTGGCTGGGCGTAGGGGCTCACACCTGTAATCCCAGCACTTTGGGAGGCCGAAGTGGGTGGTTCACCTGAGGTCAGGAGTTCAAGACCAGCCTGACCAACATGGCAAAACCCCATCTCTATTAAAAATACAAAAATTAGCCGGGTGTGGTGGCAGGTGCTTGTAATCCCAGCTACTGGGGAGGCTGAAGCAGGAAAATTGCTTGAACCCAGGAGGTAGAGATTGCAGTGAGCTGAGATCGCCCATTGCACTCCAGCCTAGGCGACAGTGCAAAACACCGTCTCGAACTATTGATATTGTTTTTTTTAAACTATTGATATTGGGGCAGAGAATGGAACTCATAATAGTCTTCAGTACATGTCACATTATAATGGTTTCATGCAAAGCTTTATGACTTTTTATTTTAATTTTTTCTATCTAATGTGTTTGCTTTATATTCTTACATATATGTATTTATAG